GGCTGAACCGAATTGCAAACAGCAGCAAATACATAAAAATACATTCAGTACCAAGTATTTATACAGAATAATACAGAATGACATTAAAATTCTTTTTAACATTTAACTGGAGAAAAGCTTTAAGTTATTAACATGCATATTCATCTTTCATGCTGCTGGAACTTGTAGCTTGCTAAGTACCTAACATTACTGCACTGTGGAGAAGAGAAGGACTTGTGGAAGTATTTCAGTTCTTCATTGAGCTGTAAAGTACACGCAACCTTCATTGTTAGAGTGAACTAAAGAATCATGTATTTTTAGTTAATAACGAATGAAAAACTGGAAGTTAAATTCTCACAGTCAGGACTTTCAAAATGACAGGTTGAAAAGGAACACAGCAGTCATGGACTTACCAGGTAAAGAGAAAGAAGAGGCTGAGAACGCTACATACAATCCTCACTCCACTCAGTAGCAGCACCTGGCACAATACCAGCTCTTTTTCAAACGACAAGGAAGTGTATCACTTTGCAGCCCCTCTTAATATTGCAGCTGTATTCATTTGTTGGGTACTAAGAAGGCAGAGAGGAGGCTCTGTGCTGGCCTACTTTCTTTGAGTATTGTGGATAGTTTGCTAATTGTACCTGCAATACATTCTGATTGGAAAACTTAAATTGTAGATATACATGAAAAAATAAAAGGTCATTTTCCATCCTGAGAAATAAACCGATCCTGAAAAATAATGAATTAATTTCTCCTAAGTCCTCTTCCCTAGTCAAGCTGTCAGTCATCAGGAAGACTGTGGTGTTTTGGTATCCCATCAAGTTCACAATAATGAAAAATCTATCTGGGAGCTACTGCTTGACCATTTCCATGTATCGAGGGCAGAACTATTTTTGTTACATTCAGTTCAAAAGCAGCCAGAAGTTGCAGGAAAAAAATCACTGCTTTTTGAGTTAACTTATGTCAGCATAACATAAGCACACTGACATAAGAACACTAGATACTTTTTCTGCCTTGTTATCACTCACCACTGATCTCATGGAAGTTTGAAAGAAGTTAATGTTCACAGACTACTTTTAATATCAATACTCCTCTGCATGCTTGACTGAAAAAAAAAAAGAAGAGTCTTTCACATAGAAATATTTATATTGAAAAATACATTGGAAATAAAAGGCAACACAAAATATAACCCAATGAAATATTAATGGTAAAATGATGATGGCATGTTACGGTGTTACGCATTAATGCTATGTCATACTGCTTTGCCAGTCAACCCAAGCTCATGCTGCTTACCAAATCTCAGTGTTCTGGTGACCAATACACAATTTACAATGAACTTAAATTATAGTTCTACACCTTCGTCTTTTTCATATTGAAATGAAAATGGGAATACAAAACTATGAAAAGCCAAATGTCACTAGAGAAAGGGGACGTTAGCTATGACCCCAAAAAATTGCCATCTCTGCTTTGTATAGTGTAAGCTGTGGAACAAATCATCATTTGCTCATCCACAATGCAGCAAGAGTACTCTCCTCAGAGTATTGCTGGCTCTGTTCCCAAACAAGATCCATTCTTATTCCCTAACTTGCTCTTTTAGAATATTTTTGAGGACGTTGTGTACAGCAGTATGACTAGCACATGCCTACGACCGGACTGTGCAGAGCAACTGAAAACGTTACACTTTGCAGATGACTGCAGGGCAGTCACTTTTTGGAAGACAAGGCTTATTCACCTGCTGCAGTTGTGCTTTTGAGATGCGAATGACAGGGGGGAACTTGCTGCCAGAGGGAATGACGGGAAGCTGCCTACGGCCGGCCCAGCGGGAGGAAGAGGAGTGGCTCTCGGCTGCCTGGCTCCTGGGCACACCCGCCTCTCTCGGGGGGGCCGAGTGGACCGACAGACAGGCTACAGGGCTCATGGTGCGGAGGATGGGACTTGGCAGTCTTGGAGTGGAGAAATGCAGCATGTGAGATGAGTTGAGCTGTGAGAACAACATGGCGGGGAAGAAAATAAGGTTTAAAAAAACTTTAGTATTTTCATAATTCTTAAGTCTTGCCTACATGCATTTTCTTAGAAGGCCATATTCACAATTGCCTCACAGGCTTAAAAGCTGATAGCTTAAAAGGTATCATAATACTGATCTTCAGATTTCCATTGATTTAAAAAAAAATGAACAGCATCAAAATCAAAAATGAGCATCCTTTCTCCAGTTGGCTCCTACCTTCAGCCAGTCACTCAGTAACAATTCTGGGCAAATTTAATAGCCAAACACAGTCTGTTCCAAGGACATGATGTACACAAAGTAGTTGATTGTTGACTGGTCCTTGTAAACGCTCAGCACATCCGTGCAACGAGGCTGTTCTCTGAGCTGACTGTATTTTTAGCATATACACCCAGTGTGGGTTTTACAAATGTGCCTGTACAACTGTGGCTATTGCAGCATATACCAAGAACCACAGCTGACAGGGTTAACCAGAAAAATAGATCAATATTAAGCAATTTTGATGACATTTCCCAGATACGGGATTGAACTAGAAGGGCACACTGGCCTGGAGAATCCATAAACAATTGTTTCATCCTGAACTACATCACTCAAGCATTTATAAAAGAGAAAAACAAATAAAATAAACAACCGGAACTGTGAAGTCCAAGTATTCCAAACCAACAATTTTAGAGCAAGTACATTTTCAGATTAGTTACTGATGATCCTAATAAACCTATAGCTTTGACATACAACTCTGTAATCAGCTGATTCTTTGCAAGACCTTCTCCAGCACTGAATAAACATCTGATAGTGACACATCTAAATAGTTGTAAATAAGACTGCTATATATAGTTTGTAATCCTTTGTTCCAAGTACATTTAAACAAAACCATGATGAGCAGAGATATGGAAACTTTATGCAAGCTTCATGAAGATGATTTTCTGTTTCCTACCATGGTATTTGCAATTATAACCTGTATTCCTTGGAAACAAAGTATCTATCAAGCATCTCAGTTTCCAAGGAAAAGGTATTTTCAGTTGTGTCAATCCTAAAGCTTCAGTTCCCATAATGGATAAATATCTCTCAACTGAAAAAAAAAACCAAAGCTTTCCAGTATCTAATAAAAGTGGCAACGGAGGACAGAAGGTACATGAAAAGTAAACAACTCAGAACTCAGAAATAAATGGAAATTTATAAACAGGTTTTTGATAAAACATAGAAGTAGCTCAATGTACAAAATTGCTAAATTCAGTAATATTTCTAAATAATAAAAACAGATTCACACAGTCAAACCTCTTCTATAGCCATGCATATATACATAGTTTTAAGCTGTCAACAAAGTGTGACTAGAGTCAACTGTAATCTAATTTAAACTGAAGATGAAACTAGAATTAGCTGTTACATATTCAATTACTTAGCTCCATTACTCTTTCTTTGCTTGACAAAGACATGTTGCAAAGTTTTGTGCACACACTTGATGGAGTTCACTACAACTTGATATAAACACAGGAAATTAATGAGGCCATGGTTCAACAGCACAGCCAGTCCAGCTTTAGGCTCTTAGTACCATAGCAAGGCAAAGAAAAACTAGAGCTGCATGCTGCCAAGTGCTGCTGCAGTATAAATTCACCATTACTCTACATAGTTCAAGTTCTTTTGACAGATTAATTTCGTATCAGTAGATATTACAGCAATTCAGGTATTACCTGTCCTCCTGCAGCCAAAATCAGCAGCCTCCATACCCTAGCATGCTCTGAGTATTCAACAGAAACATGCCCATGACTGAGCCAGAGCAAACTGGTGTTTGCTGGTAGCACACAGAATCTGTATCACAACTGCCAGACCATGACTGATAACATGAAAATTAGTTCTCTTACCTGCAGGTTTTTTTCATAATTGACACCATAATTTGCTGTAATTTTTTAATACCTGAAACTTGCTCATCTCTAAACCAATAACTTAGACATTCTTCTCTTATTTTCTGAGTTCAGGTTTCCTTGCTGAACTGCTATAACTTTACATTCCTATCAGAACGCTGATGCTGTGTGAAACAGGTAGGAAATTATACCACCAATTACAGGAAGTCCATGGACACACACAACTTCAGGAAAAACCTTTATCTACAAATGGGAGGACTCCTAGACCAGCAATTTCTTTCATTCAGGAGAAAAAGAGTATATAAACCAGGAATAACCTTTCTACAACTTATTACTTAAATAGTAAGCAATAAAGCCCCAAAAGAAATAAAGAATAAAAGTAAAAATTAAAACCAAAAATATTGCATAAAGCAGGAAAACTATGTTATTCATTCACCATTGAAGTAATTGCTTCCATACTGAACAAACCTATCAGAATAAGCTCAAAGTATTTAATTCATCATACTTTCTCCTAAGCAATAGTGAAGGAGATCTCTAGAAATCTTCCACATGGCACTTACATTCATAAGCACGATGACCATGAATGATGACAAGTCCCAGAATTTCAAATCATTTGAAATGAGTAAACTGTTTCAGAAATCATATTAAGTTATTACACTACTATAATTTCAACATCTGTTTTTAACCCCTTTTAGTAACACTTAAGTCAATTGATTTATGTTCCTAAACTTGCATTCTTTGATCCAAGCCTGCTTTTAGTAACTGGTGCAATATAATTAAATTGGCATAAAAGTAAAATATGACACTCTACACCTGTTATTTGTATTGCCAGGAAGGAGCTACCTAGATAAACTTACTAAAAACAAGAACACCCGATCCACAAACAAGGATCACATTCAAAGCCCAGTTTCAGGTGGATAAATGCTCTGATGAAGAAGGAAAAGGACTCTACCAAGCAGCTCCCTAAGGTCACCAGGTCTCTGGAATAGACAGAACTATTGTACAAAGAGGCATATTTAAAGTCTCCCTGTGAAGTGACCAGGACAGTCCCCTGTAAGAACAGTTAGGTTCTGGTACCCACCTCAAGGGATATTGCAGCATCCTTTATGAAGTAGAATACCATCAATGAAGGACAGAAGGAACAAGTCATTCCCAAATATCCTTCTGGGATTTGTTTGGCCTTCAAGGACTAATGAAGTAGATGGAAGACTACGACAAACTGCCATCATGGGTGGAATAGACACAATGCACAGACAAGCTCTGTTCCCAGGTTCTAAATCAGCCAAATAATCTCTATTTTCTTTATGCCCAAACTCAGTTTATATTTTTAATTCCACATGACTAACCCTCAATACAGCAATTTCCTTCCTGCCATTCACCCTGCCCTCACAGCACTACTCGCCCTTCCAGGATAATATAAACCATGGTAATTTCCCCCATTTTTGAGGCCATGACAAATATCCCTTACTTGCCTGCAAAGCCAAACTACAATATGATCTCACCCCAGTGTCTACTTCAACCAGTATTTCTTCCAATACATCTTATAATTAATTGACCCTGTTTATAAAGATTTCTGCTTCCATGCTCAGCAGCTTCTTTCTTTCCAGATATTGACCATTATTTGCACTATAGCACATGACTTTTTTATCACCTCTTCTTTCAGTTTTAAGTAAAATAGCTATTTCCAAAAAAAAAGCCATGTTTGTAAAAAGTGGGATAGTGTATTTGCATATGGAATTGCAAGCTGTTTTTTAATGGCTTTCAAAATAACACCTTAAAATTAAAAAAATACCTTATAATTAGTATTTTGTACAAGACTAAGTGCAGCTCCTTCTTGTCTGTTTTACCAAAACAAGCATTAAAACACAAAAATTGAATAGCTGAAAAGAACCAAGCAATTTAATTTTTCATCTTGACAAGTTTCTAATCCATCAAAAACTTTCACACAACTAAAATTTCAACTTAAATCTCAAAAATCTTCTGTTCTTTAACACAGTTCTGTATTCTGAATCACACAAAATGAATCTTCCATAAACTACATAATTCACAACGTATGATATTTAAATATAACCTTGCATAACAGATATGATTGTGCATTTTCCATGAGAACCTAGATGTATTTGAAATTTTACTGTACAGCTCTAGATAATTACAGAGTAGTTAATTTCCACTATAAAGGATATTCCACACCTTATAATTAGTGAGTGGCTGGTGACAAGTTTCTTTTTCTAATGAGCTGGCTGTAGCCATTACAAAAAGTGGTGATAAGTGAGGGAGAAGTACAGCCAGGTTTCTTCTTAAAGGAGCTTGAAAGAACTGTCTTTATATCATAGAAGACACAGTGTGTACTGGGACAAGGGGAGACATAAACCAGGAGCTGATTCCCAGTCATTTAACCATTAATCATAGAATCA